TTAACCAGTCATTTGCCAAGTACTGGATGACAGAATCTTGGCCGTCAGTTGACAGTCGTTGGTTTTGTTATAATTACTAGCGACTCTATCATATTCGTTTTCGGCACCACCTTTGTTGTCACTATATCTACAAATAAAATTTATTGTTGGTACTTGTTAAATTGTACTGGTGACTTGTTAAATTAACAAAATTGTTTCTCTCCATTCGCAGTCGTTAATGTGGTTACGGCTTAACGAGTGGTGCGATATACGTTGGAGTCTGATTAATAAGTCGACTTCTATATCTCATACATATTTCATTAGGACGTTTTTTCGTCAGTAGAATCTAGGTGAACTGCTTCGTGGCGAAGAGAACGAATCGTAACAAGCGTAATGCTTCACGCGAGCAAGTTATGTTTGAAGAATTCGGGACACGGGGCCTATAAAAAAATATTAGCGCACATACGAGTGGCGATTCCGCTTCGTGATAAAATGTAAATTATCATCGATCGCTGAGTCAACGAAAGCGCTCGATAGAACTACATTGCGAAGAACGCAAACGTTAAAAATGAATATCGTAGAGAGCTAGATATTCCGAGTATTTTTGTATTAAATATTTTCCTTTAAAAACTTGTTAAATTAAATACAGAATAGCTTGCAGGAGAAACAGAGTCAAACAAGGATGACTTGTAAGGATAAGCTTGAAAATATCGATTCGCGTCGACGTGATGTAGAAGGTGGAAGCGATGGCGGTACAATCCGCCATCTTCCCCGTCTCGTCCTTCGTTCCCACTGTGTTTCGACCCCTTTATGACTTCCACGGTTCTCGTAAGACGCAGGCGTCCCAAAATTGTGTCGTGTCTCTCATAACCCACTTTCGTCATTGAGAATGATGTTCTTTCAAGGCAAAAGTCCAGTCTCAGTTTCCGCTCTGACTCAATGAGCCTACTTCCGGGACTAGTTATTTATATATATTATTTGTAATATTTGTTTAAACTTCTGTACTGAAAAAATTTACTAAATTTTAATATATACTTGTTTCAATAGTACTAACAATAAGTAAACATTTATTTACAGTAAATAAATGTTTACTCAATAAAAAAATAATGGTTAAATGAAATTAATAGTTTTTGCATCAAATAAATATATATTTACATTTAAATATTTACTTAGAAATATTCAAACAAATATTTATTAAAATTTTGTTGTTTAAAAATGTGAATTAAAAAATATATCTATTTAAAGAATAAAACTCTACTGTAAATATTTATTTTTATAATTAATATTTTGTTATACAATAAAAAAATTAAAATATATAATTTTGGTATTATATAAAATCGTATTAAAGAATATTACGATGGAAATATTTCGAAAAGTTTGAGAAAATTATTTTTATGAAATACTGTAGATTTTTAATGCAAGTCGCTGTATACATATGTAATATTCTTTCATATAATTAAGTTGATATTTCGATGTATCTGTAATCTAACACGTATATATATAGTCGCAGATGGAAAAATGAGATCGATGTCTGACACGTTATACCTACGCGTCTACTAAGGAGACGAAACCTACGCATAGTCGAACGGCATGACTCATGGGTCGAACGCATGAGTAATACGGTCACTATTACGAGGTACTCTCGTTGTCCCATTTTTAGATTACTCAGGGAAATTGCTCGTTAGGGAGTCACGAAGGACACCTATCGAGCATATTTCTTCTTGTATTGTCGCTCGTGAAAATTCTGCCACGATAGAACGATAATTCTTTTTGCTGCTCGCAAGCTTTGAATTCCTCAAAAAAGAAACGTGTGTATGACCGAGGAAAGAGCAAAGTCGGGATCGTTAGTCCAATGCATTTGTAATGATAAATCAATCGCGACGTGCTTTAGGCGCACGCGAGGTGAATCTAAACGAGCTTGTAAATTCACGTCAGTAAGCACGTGTAATCATACATCCTGAGAGGATCGTAGACAAAATATTAATACCCATTAAATATTATTATGGGTACAAATAATGGGTATTATGAGTATTTATTTTTATGGGTATTAATATTATATATATAATACCTATTAATATTTAATATTAATAGTTAACATTAATAATAATTGATGCTAATAATAAACTCACTGGATTATAGAATTACGGCGTAACTTGGCTACTAGCTATAATATATTTTAGTTTCAAGGCGATAGGAGCTACTGCATTAAAAGGGCTGATTGTAACATCAACTTCTATTAAGAATTTTTCATCTTTATACATATATATATGTATATATATTTAATATTCTATATCTTTTTATATACAGGGTGTCCCGAAAGTTTTTGCCAATCGCTTATGTGTAGATAGAACGGACTAAACTGTGTCGAAATGTTCTCTACCATTTTGCAATTTTCGCAATAGTTAACAAGATATTAATTACTAAAAATTGCAAAATATTAGTCTTGAATAATTTTCTACTCAAATATTATCAACTTTACAGAAAAACTGTAACAGACAAAAATCATTTATTTTCTTCTCATAGAACTTTAAGAATTTTTTCAGAATTTTTTATCAACTTTTTAGTACTGCATTTTCATATTTTTACCAACATAAGAAAATGTGGTATTAAAAAAATTCTGAAAAAATTCTCAGAACCTTATGAGAAGAAAATTAATAATTTTTGTCTCTTGCAGCTTTCCTATAAAGTTGATAGCATTTGAATAAAAAATTATTCAAGACCAATATTTGGCAATTTTTAGTAATTAATTATCTTGTTAACTATTGCGAAAATAACAAAGTGATAGAAGACTTTTCGACTCACAATCAATTTAGTCCGCTCTATCTACGCAAAAGCGATTGGCAAAAACTTTCGGACACTCTGTATATGTGTATATAATACAAAATTAAAAAATTATTAAATCTATCTTATTATTAATCCAATCTGTAATTTTTCAAATTGATAGTATAATCGGATCTAAAATAATGCCTTGAGATCACGTGCGAGGCTTACATTTAATTGTCAATGAATCGAAATATGCGAATAGTGATAATTATACAGTTCAGATGTAATTATTAAATCATTTAACGCAATGCAATTTCGTTTGTCCAGGTCCATGCCAAGCACGAGGAGAAGACGGAGAGCAAATCGGTATACAGGGAATACAATCGGGAATTCCTGTTGCCGAAGGGAACCAATCCCGAGAGCATCAAGTCTTCCCTGAGTAAGGACGGTGTCCTTACTGTGGAGGCGCCATTACCGGCGATTGGATCGGGCGAGAAATTAATCCCGATCGCACACCAGTAAACCCCAATGACGAATTGCGGAAAGTCGATTTCTAAGTCGATTTTCTGCCTCGAATTCCTCCCATTATTTCCAACCACCATCCAACTTACCCAAATTGGATCTTTCCTTCGTAAGTCCTTATATCCTTCTTCTATTACCTTTATTATAGTAACTTAAAGAAGTTGATCTATTCGCGCGAGAGAAAGTTTGACCAATTTTAGTTAAACTACACTGAGAGAAAAGTGTTGGATATTTGTGAATATATAATTGCATGCTAAAATAATTACGGCCAGGAGCTCCATTTTTGTGATTATTATTACTATAGTTGTTAGTAATAATAACCATATATGTATAGTTTTCTCAAACATGAAAAAATTGTAATATAAATTATGATAATTTCCAATATTAATGTAGTAAAATATCAATAAATAGTAAATATAATAATTTTTATTCAGTAAATGCAATCGCAATTATAGTAAATATAACTATTTTTTTAAATTCACTTACTATTCATATCAATAATAATAAATATGTTAAGAAAAATCTAAAGATTTTCAAGCAGAGTGTTTGACCATTATTAACAGCTCAATTGACTATATTTGCATGGTTAAAACTATAAATACATAGTTGTCTTAAAAAAGACTATAAAGTACAGTTAAATTATAGTAATTGTAATTATTTTTTTCTCTCAGTGTAATAACAGAAAAATCGATCACGCTAAAAGTGCCTGGTGCGTGTCGACTTTAATGAAAGATACAAAAAGAAATCAAACGTAGAGCAATGAAGTGCTATAAATGTAAAAAAAAGTTAGCTAAAATGTGTTTGATAAAAAATGTTTTTCCTTTTTCATACGAGCAGCTTTATTTCTTTGATACAAAGATATTTCCGATTCCCTCGTAGAAATAGCATAATTTTTTCAGAAATGTGCATTGCCTTTTGAAATGATGTATTTTAGTTAGATACTTTTTTTGAAAAACTGTGAGCTGTATTGCTTACTTGTGCACTTGCGAACCAACGAATCAAAACTCATAAATCAATGAAGAAATAGCCGTTTGTAACGGTTAACTTATATATGTGTTAGTTTAGGTGTACGTTTAAAAGACTATAACACTGCTTAGAATATGTGACCATTATTGATATTATTTATGAATATTTTAATATTTTTCGAAATATTGCGCAACAACACACTCAACAAATGCACATACATACACAATACACACACACACACACACATACAAAACACACACACATACACGCATAATATTTAAAGGTAATGCGAATTTAAATAAAAACTATGATAAATATAACAATATAACGAATTTATATTTTCCTAACGATGAAAAATATACAAAAAATTATGCTTTTCCCCACAAATACAAGGTGAGTAATAGTCTGTTCATAGATAAACACAAGTTTGAATTCCAAGCAATGTAGTATACATAAAGTATGTTTTAGTGTTGACAACAAGGTACACATATTATCACAGACTTTTAGTTTATTTGTCTTTATTAACAAAATATGTTTTTATACACAGATAACTCTTTTACGTAAAATTATTATAAAATTATTACACAAGATTTTTCTGTGCTAGTATTGTTTAAAAATTTTTTAAAGATTTAAACATTATCTCAAAATAAATATTACACAACTTATGACTTATTTATACTAACTTTAAGGAAACAATATCAAGTAAATTTGATTAAATCATGTTTTCGATTAAATAATTATATATATATAAAATACAATATGTACGCGGATTCATTGTTATCGATAAAACTCTATGCATGATATGTATAAAATAGTAAAAATTTTACAAATTGATTTTATGAATCAAATGACATTATGTTCATATTTATAATTTTGTCATGGATTGTGTAGTCTTTTTATTTACTTGCAAGAAACACGTGTTTCACCTCGAATTTATGCATGAGACAACACGGAAACTTCATAAAACGCAGTTTATTTTATTTGGCATGTTTTCAAGAATCATGGTAAAAGTAAAAAGTATGTCGTTCTTATGTTATTCACATCGTAAAAATAGCAAATGTATGATAAATCGAGACTAAAAACAATTAATATTACGGTTTTAACAAGAAGAAAGGATCAGTCTCGTAGTGTGATCAAATCTACATACCATATAAAATATTTTTGTTTCATATCTAAATGTTCTTCGCGCAACGATTGTCGCAATAATAGAGAGAACCACAATTAAAATTTCTATATACTTGGAACTTCAGCGGAGAAAAGTGGTGCGTCGGATGCGGTGAACGACGGCGATTTACCTTCCCTCGCGATGCGCAATGCTTGATGAACCGATACTGTATCAAGTTCCTTTTGATTTGGTTTTTCATTATCCAAACAAATATCGGCGGCTCTCTTACCAAATGGCTCCAGAACCTTGACTCTGTAATCAACTATTGTCGATACTGGATTGCCCGTTAGTCTCAGGTTCTCCAAGCATGGCAAATGACCGATGTGTTTCACCTCCTCGATTTTCTCGATACGATTACAACTCACATCTAATCCCTCCAACGAATACAGCTTCGAAAAACTGGCGAGCGACGTGAGTTTGTTTTGTGACAGATCGATGTAAACAATATATCCGAGTCTCGTGTGAAGATCATCCGGAAGATGAGTAAAATTGTTCGATGCTAAATACAACTGAGATAATCTCGGCAACAGTGTCACGTTGGATATTTCAGACAGGTGATTGTTATTCAATGTCAAGCATTCTATTTGCGGCAGTAGTTTGATCGCCTCGTCTATAACTTCTATGCGATTATCACTGAGGTCCAAGTGCGTCACCTTCATCCATACATGAGAATCGTTAGCGTTTTCGATATTTTTATGAACCTCTTCGCACATAGCCAATTCTACGATGTTTCTGAGCTTGGTATTGGTAACTGTTAACGTAATCACAGTATCTCGAAGATTTCCCATGTTGTAAATTTTGTCGACTGGGTACCAATCAATCGTTAAATGTTGCACATTTTTAAAGGTGGATAATTCAATAGACAAAGCGGACGGATAAATATTGCTAGTTTTGTAAGGCTCCGAACTTCCTTCGATCGTGAGGCTAGTTAAACGCGAATTAAAATCCAAAACGTGACTGAAGGCATATTCCTTATCCACAACTTCCAGCAATGGGCACGGCTGCTTTAATCTTTCGCTGATTGCATACAACTGAAAGTAAAAAAATTAACAGATGACATCAGTGTGTTTGTAAATTTTCATCAATTAAAAACTAAGACAATTTAATTACCTGTACAGGATTGAATTTGTAGCTCGTCGAAGCCTGTAGCAAATCACCCGTTACAAAAAATTCCAACGCCATGCTTTGCACCAGGAAATATATATCGTACTCGTGTAGATCCAGGAATAGGGCGAGCTCCCTGGGCATCGCCTTTTTCAAGTAATTATAAACAGCATTGAGATATATCTCGAGACTCTGCCTGCGCTTCTCCACGAAAACCTCACACTTGTTGCCTATGAGTTTCTTCGGTGGTAAAATGTCTTTTTCGACGCAATATTTGGAGACAAAGCTGTCGTGCAACGCCGCAAATGTACTATACCTTTGACATAAATGATAACCATAGTTTTTTCTTTTCCCTTTACGTACATATCATTTTTATTTTCGTTGGATAGTTACATGATAAATTTTGCGTTTCATGCCTTATTCTCTTTACCTTAATTATCTTTATAAGTAAACAAAAAAATATAGTTTTTTTTTCTAACAAGAGATACAGATGACATAGTGTAACATAGTTAATCATTATACCCCTATTTTTCAATGTTAAATAAAGAAATATGTTCACTGTGTATGCTTTCCATTTGGCACGAGTTGACACAAGTGACATTTTATCTCTGTTACTCGCTAAATGTCAAGATAGAACGATGTTTGTGACAATTTGTGTCACTAAATAGAAAACATTCAGTGTTAGGTCTGCAGAAGAATTATTAGAGACATGAATAAATATTAAATATTAAAGAAATAAAACAAATTAAGAATAGAGATTAAATGTAAAGAACAATGGAATTTAAGAATATATGAAACAAATGAGGATTAAACGTAAAGCACAATGGATAAGATATGGCATTTGAGGATTGTTTTCAGTAGAACTTCTTGCACAGTTTAACTTTTATCTTTTTCTCTTCAACGTGAAAAGAAAAAGAGAAAAGATGAACCGTGCAAGAAGTTTAGCTAAGAACAGGCCTATTATGTCTTGTTCCTTACAATGTGTCATTTGTGTCTTGCTGGAAAGCAGTTATTATTTCAAGCTTATATATATATATGTATATATATATATGTAGACGTTCACACGTACACATAAAAGTCAGGAGTTAAATAAAGCGCAAAACGATGCTTGGGATGAGAATGGAAGCGAGTGCCTTGAGTGCCAATTAATGTCACCTGTGTTTCACGGTCCATTTGATCGACGCGATCGCAACCTCGATGCAGTAATACGTGACGCCGTCCACCGTGTCGACCGACGGTATTTTCAGGTGGACGTTTTCCTGATTCAACAGCAGACACGCCATGACCGGGCCCGTGACGCGCAATTTACGTGGCAAAGGTCCCTCGAGTCGCGGACTCTCAGAGGTTATCCTCGCTTAATCGGTGGCTGCCGCCGCGCCGTATCGTGAGATAGCGCGGTGCGGTGCGGAGCATTTAGGGGCAGAGTCTGCGGTTTCTACGCGTCGCACGGAGCATCGTGATTATGTACGTACACACGCCTCCGCACTTATCACCGACGTATACCTCGCGACGAACGACGGTGCCTCGTAACAGGAGACGAGATCGTGATACAAATACGCATCTTTGACACTTGACAGCTGTCTCGCCGACCACGGGAGGAAAAAAAAAGAAAGAGTTTGTGTCCGCTGCTTCCATCTCACGGCGAGACGACGCACTACGCGAATGTTCGTCGGTCGGTTCTTTAATAATTAAATTAATCGTAGGCCCGTCTCTACCAATGTATTATATAGATTAACTTTAATCTTAGGCCGGTATTCACAGTCGATTCTTATTTCGAGACCGTCTTAAGTAATGTCTTAAGACGCTAATACAGCCCTCTGATGGTTCGTGACTTCTTAAAACCATACCTAAGACGGTCTTGAATATAAGATCTGACTATGAATACCGGCCTTAGCTCAAGATATTTTTTATCTTTTTCTAATTGTCAGAACTGAAAAAAGATGAAGAGTTAGTTAAACCGAGATTAAAATTAAACTATATTAGTAGAAACGAATCTGATGCCCATTTCCACCAATGTAAATTAACTTTAATCTCGGTTCAACTTATTCTTCGTCTTTTTCTAATCTTTAGAACTAGAAAAAGACAAAGAGTAAGATGAACCGAGATTAAAGTTAATCCGTATTGGTGGAAACGGGCCACAGTCGAATTTGAAGAGAATATTCGACTGTCATTAATCACAATTGTTATAACCACATTTACGCAATTGAATAGGTTTTACTCAAAGTGGAACAATGGCTGTGTTTAGCAGAAAAAGCAGCTTTACAGCTGTTGTAGAATCCTTTAATTTTGATTAGTTTTTTCCCTTATTTCTTCTTAATTCCTTATTGGATCAAAATGTATAAACCAATTATATTAACAAATTTTTTAAGTCATGTCATTGTTGTAGCAAATGATCAAGTAATATCTCGTATTAATTGCTGCATTTATATCGTTAAATATTAGTAATAAAAAGACACATAGAAGTATTCTTAGATTTTGATTTGAATATTGATAAAAAGTTGCGGTACAAATAAAAATAAAAGGCATGTATTTCTTAGAAATGCTCATAAAAAATCATAAGCATATAAAAAAAGTTGATATTTAATTTAATTTTTAAACATACATCGTTAAATACAAGACATTCGCGTGTTTCTAATAAGATTTCTTCACGGTGAGTTATCTCGGTTAATGTAGTTTCTTTGACGACGACAAAGTAGAGATTTCGCGTAAATTAAATGACGCACGTGAAGACAATTGTGTGCACATGACGTCTGGGAAAGCTTCATTGTAAGATCTCACGAATTTCAACAGTGTACAGAAACAAAACTCTCTCTCTTCGCACATCGAAAAATCTAGTAGTTTACCGAATTCATACCATGCAATTTTATATCTTTGTTTCAATATTAATAAATCATTACTTGTGTGTGATAATACACTGAAAGAAAGGATTAGCTGCTGCAGAAAATTAGATGGTAATATGATATGGCATTTTAAAATTGGCTGCAGCAGCCAATTTTTGGTTGCTGCAGCCAATTTTTAGTTGTGTTAACCTATCCACAATGAGTACAAGATTTCGATTGGCTGACGCAACCAAAAATTGGCTGCTGCAGCCAATTTTAAAATACTATGTCATATTTACCATCTAATTTTTTGCAGCAGCCAATCCTTTCTTTCAATGTATTATCAAGTAATGATTTATTAATATTGAAACGAAGATTGGAAATTGCATGGTATGAATTCGGTAAACTACTAGATATTTTTCGGAAACTACTAGAATTTTAAAATTCTATGCCATATTTACCATCTAATTTGCTGCAGCCGCCAATCTTTTCTTTCAGTGTAGAATCAAGAAAGGACAGGAAGATAAAGCAGGCACTTTCTGAGAGTACTTCGTGTAACATACCTATATACATTATTACCTTTAAATAAGCGTGACGATCAGCCTAAAGTAATGCTGTCGCTTTCGAGCGGAATGCCGGGCGATACCGCAAATCATTTTCTTTGAACAACGTCTCGTTGCGAGTTGCGAGTTCGTCATCATCGAAGGAACGCTGCGAGAAAACGACGTCGGTCATATTTCTTGCTTATTCCGCTGTTGTGCACGACAGGACGAAAGGCGTTCGCGCGCTTCTCGCATTTCTCAATCCTCCGTCATGGTTTCGGAGCGCGATGGATGGCAATTACGTACGTACGCTATCAACTAAGCTCTTACCACGCGTTCCTTCGACACGCTCTACCTGCTCCTCGTTCTTATCTCTTCCGACGGCAAATCCATTTTTCCCGCATGAAAAACGCAGTTAGAAATTCCTGCGAGGCGCCGAGAACGGCGGAAATGAATATTCTCGGACTCTTTAGAGTAAGACAAACTTTCGGAAATGAAGGCTTGTACTTGAAAAGTAAAAGGAAATAAACAGGATTCTAAGGAAATGAGATATAATTATAGATATACTTTTTATCATATAAAATATACAGAAAGAACAATTTTGCTGAAATATATAATATAAATTTTTAGCTACAGATTTGAAAATAATTTTTTTTGGACAAAATAATAATATAGGAAACTCACACACACACACTAGCATAACGAACAACGCTGCGAAAAATTTTGATATTCTAGCAATTTCAGTATCCTACATAATTATTTTGATGATACAACAAAATTATTTTTAGATCTGTAATTAAATTTTTAAATACTTTAACAAAACCGTCCCTTCCATATAGTCATACAGTTTTTTTTTCAGAGCCAAGAGTTTAATACTTTAGTATTTTGATAACTACTGGTTTCTTTTTTGACAAGAACCGTTTAGCACAGCTAAACGGCAGTTCACGTAATATCTGGTTTTGATAACAACCGGCTTTTCCGGATATATATATATATATATACTATATATTCACGATCGCACGTCACACAGAGGATCGTGAGAATCCATCGACACGATATTCCATCGTCGTCGATAAACCACCCACCGAGAAAGAAAAAGAAAGTGTGAGAGAGAGAGAGAGAACGAGAGATACGAGGAAAACGAACGAGCGTGACTCGAGCGAGATTTTGCGTATTTATTCAACGACGGTGGCGGATTACGAATGGCGTCCAGCAGAACGAAAGATCGCATTCGATTCTGCCTAATGCCAGGAGCAGGCCGGCGCTGCCACGAAACCGAGCTCGCTCGCCTGCTCGCTCATTCATGGCAGCTCTCATTGGCAACAACCTGTTGCCGCAGTGACGTAACCGACACTTCCTATTGGAGGCGCCACGTCAAACAATACGATTGATTACGCCGACGTGCGGATTAGGTGCGGAGTATCTCGGAAGTAACGACGAGTAGATATGGAAACGCAAACTTCTGGGGAAATTTCGAACCAACCAACTCGATCCCTTCCTTTTTCGTATTCAATTGTCGTTGAATTTAAATTGAATAAAACGTAACTAAGAAGATAAATTTTTTTTCTAACTTTCGAAGTTTGTCCTTAAAAGGGCTAGCATACTGAAAAAAAAATTTTAATAAATATTTATTTGAATAACTCTAAATAAATATTTACTAAATGTAAATATATATTTATTTGATACAAAAACCATTAATTTGACTATTATTTTTTTATTGACTAGATATTTCTTTACTGTAAGTAAATGTTTAATACTATTCCAAGAAATGTGTATTTATATTTTTTTCATTTTTTCAAAGTTGATATATCAGTAATTTCGTCACAAGCATCAAATATATACAAAATATATTTTTTTTAGTTCTAGTACGTTTAATACTTCAAGATTATTAAATTAAAACAAATTCGATTTCCTTATTATATAGGTCGCTTCTTCGATCAATTTTATATTATTCTTCAAAAGAAAATAAATTTTTATTTTAAGTACATATGAATTTTTCTCAAATTTATAATAAGTATATTTTAAGTTTATTCTAAAAATATCTTTTGTTAAAGATAACCGTTACTTAAAAGCAAGAAAGTAAATTTAGTAATTACTTTTCTTAGCATTAGAATGATATTTTTCTGTAGAAATAATAGTTTTCTAGCTGCGAGTCACATTGAAATAAATGATGGAACAAAAATGTGCCGTTTACTTCGATTTTTTTTCCATTCAATCGTTACAATAAATTATATTATATTATAACAAAAAGAGAAGTGTAAGTCTCTACATAATAAAGATGAATAATTTCACGGGAAGACTTTTACACCCTTAAACGTGACCCTTAAAATATCGCCGTGGAAAAAAAGAGTCATTAAAGTCTTTTCCGAGTGACGCTAATGGGGCCCCAAGGGTGCCCGTTAATTACGTCACTGCCAGGTTGGATGCTGCGTCAGGAGCAATGGCGGCTTACCTGGCTCGCCTGGCTGCCCCCCTCCCCCCCCTTACCTGCGCCGCGTTCCTCGGGGGCAAGCCGACGAACCTGTTGCCCGTTCTCATGCAGTGTCGTGTCGGTTTCGTTCTTACGCGGTGGTACGTGGTGCTCTCGCGGGGCGCGCGCGCGCGCACGCGTTCAGGTGTCTCGGTGTTGCGATCGGCGGAAAACGCGGCGGAAACGCGCGCGCGTGCGCAGCACCGCATGCGTTTTCGCGGAACACGCGTAGAGAAAAACGCGTCCGGCCAGGTGTGAATGGTGCGATCGCGCGGCGACGGCGGCGGGCCGCGATATATCGGTGAGACCGGTGAGACTTTCCTTCGCGTCGGCCGCGTCGGCCGCGTCGACCGATCGACGAGAATAAACGATTCTCGGAACTCGGTGGCGAAGCCGTGGCACGACGACGGAATATGAAGCGACGTGTACGTCGCTTTCCCGCGGATGTATCCTCGTGATAAACACTCGCCGTTTATCGATCGCGTGACCGCTCGCAAAGCGATTGTTCTTGATCGCGAAACGCGACGTTTTGTTTGTTGTCGAATATTGACGGAGGGAATTGCGAAATCGGTACGCGAGTGGCGAGTGGAGATGCATCACTGTCGGTCGGCGTGATTTCTTGGATATCGTTATGAAAGGAAGCCGGCGAGAGAGACCTGAGAGTTGTTGGCGTGCTCCGTAAGGAGATTTAGTGACTCCGGGCATTTATTACGAGTGCGACGGGAGATAGTTGAGTGCTCGCCGAAAAAGGATCGGTGT